AGGTTCAAGGTCAAATCCAAGGTTACCATCGGATTCCTCGTAAAAAGTTACTTCAAGAACAACCTTCACCCGGTTGAAAAAATAACCGGCTTAGAAAGTTTCTCAGGTGTATCGTTACTTTTTGGACACCCTGTATAACTGTTTGTACTAGACACTTAAATAACACTAATTTATGAATTTTATTTTAGTTATATGTTTAATTAATTGTATTGATACTGATTAATGTGAATTACTAGATACTCTAACGGGTGGTTCGGTTGCTTAAAAGTTGGCCATTGATCACCCATGGTTGCTCTCTCATTACGGAGCTCTGCTCCAGGTTGCATGCCGGTACTTGGAAGACTTTGTATTTCAATATGTTGATTCTGTTTGTTTTTCGGCAACCTAAAAACATGGAAGTAAACGACACAAACAAAATTTATATTTAAGACTAGCCTTTTGACGACAACATTGATCAACATTGACAGCGGTGCGCTGTCTTATTGTCTACCGTCACCTAATTGATTTCCTGGATCTTGGACTTTGAACGAACTTTGGATCGTCTATCACCGATATTTAAGCCGATACTGATTGTTAAATGGTTCAGTCACTTGTCACACGTGCTCTTGAGTAAGTAACGATATGAGTTCGTAATAAGTGATAGTATCCGCTGTTCATTATTTAACTACGAAGGATCTGGATATTCCCGCGCTCTTAAATGTGAGTTCACTCCACGGCTTTGTCTTTACTTTGTCGGTTAATTTAAGATTGGTACGGTTGAATTTGTCGCAAATTCATTAATTGTCACGTCACACCATTGCTCCCGTTTTGTTGCCTGTCGTACCGAATGTTGTATTTTAGAGCGGGGGGGGGTTATTCGGGATAGGTGGAGGTGATAATTTAGAATTCGGTGACGATGGATTTATTATTATTTTTTGAAGTTCGATTTCTTCTTCGTTATGGTTTGGTTTTGAAAAGGTGTAGGGACTATCCATAGATGGCATGTAAGGTGTATCCTTTAACAACGGAATCGGTTACTTGTTTTTTTATGTACAAGATTATAAGTATCATGATAACTGCTGACGAAATTGATCCACTTGTGATAAGTTTATCAATAAGCAGATTGCCTGTCCTTTTCGTGTTTTATTAGAATATGAATTCTGGGTGTCAGATACCAGCTTTGGTTTTCTGAGAGGACTGGTAGTTCGCTGTAGCACTTTTTGAGGTATAATATCTTGACTGTTGTAGGTACACATTTTATAATTTGTATAATATTACTTCTCCTGCGATTCTTGCCATGTATCCTGGTTTCTTTATTACGTTAAGTGCAAATTTATTTGGGGAAAGGATTGCAATGGATAGGGAATTTTGGAGTGTTTTCTATTCAATTTCGCATTTACTTATACAGTATAAATATAGATTGTTAAGCTTTCTCCTCAAACGTTTTTGTACGTATATGAATTTCGAATTGATACATGTAAATAGATCAAAGTTTACGCTATTTCGATTACTGACAACGTCGTTTTCGAACTTGTAAATATTTACAAGTTATTGTCTTTCGTGGCAATAAATAGTTTTAGATTTTCTGTTATACAAATTCTTAATTGCATTTTATTATTTTGTCTTTAGCTGGTAGCGTGAATATTACTTTGCTGGTATTTAATATATAGATTATTTAACGGTTCTTATCACTAGAGTATCTTGTTGTTAACCCTTTGTATAAGATATCATATTTGTTTTTGAAGCATTCACCTTCTGGTAGGATATTCCAGAATGTGTATCCTCCTTCCATATCTAGGCAAGATTTTTCTAAAAATTTACATACTAGTTCGGAATTTAGTATTAATTTATCGTTATTCAAGTTAACCTTTGCTTCTGTGTGAACTAAGGTAAGTTTAATTGACCCTTGTTAAGGTGTTTATTTTTAGGTTTACTATTGTATGGAATAAGTCATACTCGAAAATTTCGGTTTCATGTGTGACTTGGCATTACTCTTGGTTTAGTTCATAAATATATTCCCTTATTCCCTTGTACTCGGGTATAAGAAGTCCATCGCATCCGTATGAGTATACTATTCGGTAAATTTCTATTTTACATTGGATTACTTGCACTACACGAAATTCGGTTATTCGAATTAATTCGATGTCTATTGCTATTGAATTTGAGTGTGTGTTTGGAAATTGCATTCTCCGGAATCTAGCAGGAAAAGCTGGTGAAGTTTGGTATTATTAGCTCGCAGTGGTATCCGATAAGTGCGTTGTTTACTTTAAAAATTGTAGTTACTGGCAATATTTTGATAATCATAATGAGAATTACCTAAAAAAGAGTAAAGATTTAGAATTTTTTTCTTATGCATAATTAATTTATTCGCATAGACTGTGCATACTTTTTTACCCTTTATTATAGTGATATTATTATTATCAGTTTTATGTATGGTCCTAAATTTTTATTTTTATCTTGTTTGCAGGTTTCAATTATTTTATAAGCCAAAATAAGTCACCTTTTTCAAAGTCAGTTTGATTAATGAAACGATTATAGTATTTTTTTTAATCTTTCTTTTGATAGAATCAAATTTTCTCGTGCAGCGTTAGCAATATCTTTCATATTTTTGATTAATTGCGATATATAATTATTAAATTTTAGGAGTTGTTCATATGCTTGAAGTGGTTCATTTGATGGTAGTGGGGATGGGTGGGCAAAGACTAATTCATATGGAGTAAATTTGTTTGCGCTGCGTGTACTTATATTGCAATGAAATTGTGCTAAATTTCAATAGATTATCCCATTCTATTTTATAACGGAGAATCTTGGCTAGGCCGAATTCGTCCGTTTGGCTCTCGCAAATGTCCCTGCACCGCGCCAAGCTGAGAGTGTGTGAGTGTGGTACACACACTCATGCTTGAATTTTTGTTTACGAGGTGCTGAACACGGGCTGAGCTGACGACTGGAGCGATAGAGATGGCGCAGAAGAAGAGGAAGAGAGAGAGAGAGAGGGATAGAGAGAGAGGGAGAGAGAGAGGGAGAGAGAGAGCGTTCGAATTGCGGATCGCCGCGGAAAATTCGAGAGAGTCTCTGCTAGGCTATGAGCAGAGGAAGTCGCGCGCGCGAATTAACCAAAAGGTCACGGTTTTCCGAAGTTGGCCCCGCGACCTCACTGACGTCTTGTTCGTTTTCGGAGACACGCCCGGTGCACGGACGAGTATTTAAGTGTAAGGCTGGGTCGTGCCCAGCCGTGTCCCGAAAGATACCCGGCACCGGTGCGTGTGGGTAACCAGCGAGGTGCGCGGGTGCGCGCGTGAGCAGTTCTGACGTGCTACAGTACCAAGCGACGGAGAGGCGACGAAGACAACGGCAACAGCAATCATCGAGCGAAACAACGGATTGAGGCAGAAATATTGTGGAGCAAGCGAGAGGACGAGCAAGAAGACAAATAGCGACGACAACAAACATGAGCGAGACAGTCAGCGGGGAGTGCACCAGTGGCGTCACACTGCGGAGCGCTCTAGCCGTCAGACAGGCTGTAGGTCGAGGTCGGTGCCGTGTTTTTCTCTTGTTTCTCTCTCTCTCTTGCATGTTTAGGCGCTAGCTTATGGGTGGTAGCATGGCAGACCTGCTGGCTAACCCGTTGATAGAATAACGGCGAAAAGTATTTTGTCCGGCATTTATTGTAACATTTTGTTTTAGACAGGGAATCCGCAGGCTGATCAACCACCGATTCACCTTCCCGTTTGCGTTTGTTATTGTGCCGTTCGTAGTGTATAAACGCGAGATCGCTGTCTTGTAACCTATTGTTGACGATTAAAGGATTAGTGTGTTAATCCGCTGTTGTGTTTATTCGCCGCTGTATCATTCCTCATCCCGATTTCGAATCCGTGCGTTTAACGTGTTTATGCTCGACGCGTTATTCAGTCGTGGGTACGTCTTGTGCTTCCCGAATCCTCGAATAAATAATTTGTGTGGACGGCTGCGATTAACCCAGACGGCAAAGATTGCTAATTCTCCGTTACAATTTTCTTTGAAGCGAAGTTTTTTAGGTATTTGCACAGATGGCTTTTTCTACGGAGCTATTTCATTGAGGTGAGAATGCTGTTGTTTCAATTTTTGAGAATTTGAATCTTTTTGCAATTGCTTTTAATAATTTACTTGTGAAATTTACACCGCGGTGTGTTAAAACTATCTTTTGAGAGCTAAATTTGCATATGAATTTTTTTATGAATGCGTCAACTATTGACTCAGCGGTTTGATCGAATAGCGGGCTCACGACGAGGATTTGTATTGTTAGAATGTATTTGTTGTTGTTTTTTGTTATATTTAACGGTACTATCTCAACCATTACTATTTTATCAAATTTTTCGAATGATGTACCTGTGTTAAGCATGGGTTGTCTGGTTCTTATCCCTTATAGTTTGTTTCTTTGGTAGCATTCACAGCTTTTATAGATATAGCAGAACTGTTAACTTTTTCAGAGTTTAAAAAAAACACATTGAATTCCTCAAAAAAATACTTACCTATAGATATATGTATTATATACCAAAGCAATATGGGTTACAGTTGCGGCATTATGTCTAGATCACTATGATAAGAAGGATCTTGTTATTCGTATATAAACCCTAGATACTGCTATAGGGTTATAAAGCGTATCGACTAGTTAAGCGATAATCCAACGGCCACACTTATCTCTCTCTCTCTATTCTCTCTCTCGCTCGCTCGCTCTCTCAATCTCTCCGAATTAATGGATCTCTCTCCCGTCTGCCGCATACTATAGGCCGTATCGTCTACAACTCTGTTGTAGCGCTGTGCTAACGTCATCCTCCTCTTCCCAAACCTCCTTAGCAAATGTTCTTCAGTTCTATTCTTATAACTTTATCGTAATATAATTTTTTATATTTTATAATAAATATTTTCAAAAAATTAAAGGGATTTTAGGCCATTGATTTATTGCTTTCAATTCTATAAAGATCATATGAAAATTGGCTCAAATAAAATTAGTTACGTAAAGATTAAATTAAAAATATTCTTACTTGATGAACTTCAGAAATATGTTTCAACATGTTATCGACTGTACGTTTCGGCGTATCACATTTTCTATAGTCACCCCATTTACCAGCAGCTGCAGATCTAGAAGAAGGTGTACCAGTTGTTAACCGACAACAAAGCGGCTCATTACATTCTGCGTTCGATCCTTCTTCATAGTACGGATCATAGTGAGTATCAGATATGTGCAAAACTTTGAATGTAGGCCTCCCATCAATAGGTGTCATAGAAGATTTCATTATAGGTTTATTTACTGGTGGAAATGCAACTTCCCAATCGTGCAACGGATTATATATATCCTCACAGGCATCTCCTATTATGAAACTGCAAATTTGTGCTGGACTAATTTCTACTCGCTTGAGTACATATATCACTTCTTCCTAGAATAATAAAAAGTTATGTTCAGTACTATAAATAATGTTAATTTTTTCAAATTTTGAAATGATCAGGTATGTAATGAAAAAAAAGAGAAAGAAAGAGAGAGAGAGATGAAAAGCCGAGTACTAAGAATATCCAGTAAACATTAAATACGTGCGTTACGCTACTCCATTCTCATGAACTCGTGAAGTACCGTCAGAGATATTACGTTCATTTTTCCCTATCAACTATGCAAAACACAGCCTTACAGTATATATACGACAGTTACAAGGCGATAGTATCTCTCAATACACCAAGAGCAGTAAAATCGGACGTAAAAGACCCATAAGAAATAGTGACTGTTAACTGCTGACAGAAAAAAGATTAGGAATATAGATAATTAACAACTTATCAAATATAGATTGAACAAACATTAACATTTTCAACATTCAACATGTATCAACGATAATATTCAATATACAATTAAGGATTCTTCGTCATTACGTATCACAGTGGCTTTAATTTAACTAATTTATCAAGACACGCCAGCACACTACCGTCGAAATAATGAGAGCTTGGCCAGACGCTCGTAAATACCACCAAAAGCCGACACATTCCCTACTCTCGACTCCGTTAATCAGCACTTCAAATAGATAGACTGGCTATGAATATTTCACCTACGTACACTTACAGATGCGTTTAGTCTGACGAGAGCACGTATACAAGTACCGGACCGGACCAGAGAAGTAGTTTACGAAAGATAAATCGCTAATAAAACAGTTTTTCTTATTATAATACTAAGTAAACTAGTTGGAATAATTATTAAAAAATATTTATACTGCTATAGCTCAGCAAGAAGAAAAGTAAAACTTTTTTTAGTGTTGCTTGTATCAATCAGTAGGGACTAGGAATCGAACCCGGGCCTACCGGGTGCGAGTCCAGCGCCCTATCGACCCAGCCATTGCAGGCCTGATAAAAAATTCTGATAAAAATTTAATAAATATTTTTTGCGCTCTATTTTTACAGAATTTATACAAAAAATTTTGTGTGAAAATATTTATTATAAAAAAACATCATAACACTAAACGATTTTCGTACGACAAATATCGTATTTATTATGTTATCCGAAGCATATGAAAGAAATCAATTTTTATGAATGACCATTGATAAAATTAATCACGAAGGAAAAATCTTTTGAGGATTTTGTTCTGAAATAACAAGTATTAACTGTAATCAGTTTAATTTCATCGAGCGATAAATTGGATGTATATAAAACGGGTCGTATCGTGTATCAATTAATTCTTTGATCATTCTGCATCCCGACGGTCTGTGTATGAGCTAGAAAATGGAATTTTTAAATAGGTGTTTTGCGCAGATTCGTACATTGGAAGAACCTAAAAAGATCATCACTTCTAAAAGTATTTGCAATGGAATTGTTATAGTGTGTTGGAAAAAACAATTGTGTTTTATCTTTGGGAACGTTGACACAAATTATAGAACAGTCTCAGCTTAGTATGCCACAAAAACAGTCTTTGCTGAGCACTATTACACGTCTTGAATGTATTCATTTGCGATTAGAAAATTTCAAAGTTCGTGGTAATGGTGTCTGTAATAATTTTAAAAGCAGTGGATTGATTTAGACATAGCGTTTAAAAATCGTATAAGAACGAATACAATATTAAACATTTTACACATTTATATCCATTCGTTCTTATAAAATACTCGTATTTTATTCTTGTATTAGAAATATTATGAAAAAAAATACTTGCAAAATTAATGCAACACTTTTGTGCAAGATTTGGAAGTATTCAAATGGAGAAAACGTGTTAGAAAAAGTCTCTGGCTCAAAACATTTCATTCATTTCATTACACGAACAATTAAAATATATCGTTCGAGTCCTATTAAACAAGGGATTGATGAATGTTACGACTTCAGTATTCATTATTGAGAGATGTAGAAGAATTTGAGAATAATGAAACAGGATGGTCTTCAGCGTCTATTTTTTTTTCTGGTGGTAAAAAACGGGGAATCTGCCTAGACCAGACCATCAGCGGCGATTCTCAGGTCGACTAAGACAGGTGTCGAGAACCCTGCCCGTGAGACGGCTTCCGGGAACACGTCAGCCTCGGCAACGGATAAATTGGATTGGTCCAGTCCATCTGCGACAGGGGCTTCGATGACCCACAAGGATCGTCTAACCCGCCATCCGTTGAGCATGCTCCTGAGGCTATTCAGAAGTATACCCACCAGATTCTACCTTCTATCCAATCCGCAGCGTCGGACTACTTTCGTATTACTTCGCCGCTGCAGGTTCTATCCAAACGTCTGTTCCTTTCATTGCTTTCGTTACGTCTTTCCGTCCATTTCATTTATTCAGTTTTTCATATATTTCTGATACATTCATATAAATTCGCGGTATTTCTGATACATTCATATAAATTCTAGACATCAGTCCGCCTTCTTCCCTCTCAGTACAGTTTCGATAAAGGTAGCAACCGCTATCCAGCTGTCCTCGTCGCGTAGCATTTTCGTCACAGTATTTTCCGGAGTGATTGTACCAATTTTTGTTCCCAGGTGCATTTTCTCCGTGGTCCATCATGAATTCTCGTCAAAAGTGTGCTCTACGTTGCCGTCTCGTTTCTTATCGATCGTTCTTTCCAGTCATTTAGTGTTTTATTTCGATCCACAACTGACGCATCCGTTTTCCCTACGTCAGCGCTTATTTCGTACGTCCGTTTCCATTCTTTGGCGAGCAGATCTATGGGAATAACGCCTACCACGACAAGGACTGGCTCGGTCGAGACAGTCTTATATGGAGCATGCTATCCGCAACGCCCCCTATCTCTTTACGTTCATTAGTCGTTTGCGGTATTTCTTAACGTTGAATACGTAAGCCCAGATTTCTGCACTGTACTATATGATCGAGTGGACCGTTGACATTAGTAGGCGTTTTATCTTCTGTCTCGGTCCGTACATGTTTGCCTTAACAGCCGTTTCCTATATATAAAGCCAAAAGGTCGGCTTCATACCCACAGTCACCCCTAAGTACTGTGTATGCACTCAAATCTGTATGCACTCATGTGCGAGGTAACAGGAAGCTGCCAAAAGGCGGTACCGCAGTCACCCCTAAGTATTTCACCTTCCTCTTGATCTTTATCCGTTTCGTCCCTACTGACATTGGAATAAGAATTTGAATCATCTTTCCGGTCAGCAAGATTAACTTTGTCTTTACCAAAGCCATATGACCAGGCTCAGCCTCAGCTGTGCCAACTCCGAGTCTCACTGGACAATCACCACCGCTACGTCGTCGGCGTAAGCGACCAGCGAGACATCCACCGGTATATCCAGCCTTAGCAGATCATCGTAAACCGCGTTTCAAAAATTTGGTCTCAGAATTTAAAACATCTGATAGCCTGCCCTTCAGTCGTCTCATACGTGATCCATCTGTCTCGTAGGTAATCGCTCGTCATCCGCATGAGTTAGATGGCACATCCGAAAGCTCGTCGAGCAGCCAAAATATCCTCCCATCTGATCGAGTAAAGGTATTTCTAACATCTAATGTCGCAAGTAAAACCGTGGTCTCGCGCCATAATATACACAGTTTACCCGTTGCAAGATCTCGGTAACCTCCCTCATTGCGCCTTTCATCGAGTATCCTTTATGGAAGCCGTGATGACTGTAAGACAGTCCTTCGGTTTCTGTAATCGCGTCCGTTAATCGTGGTCTCAGTAGTGCTTTGTACAGGTTTTCCGCATTGTAGAAAAAATAAGAGTCTAGTTCTCCATTTTCTTTATATAGCAAGACTAATTTTGCAGTTTTCCATCGCGCTGCGAAAGAGCTGGTCCATAAGTTCGCGTTGTACACGTTCAGGAGTAAACCTGGACACACTTGGAAGATCTCTCGGAGAATCTTCTCTGGTATACGTACTCTCCGATCCTGTCGCCTTCCTGGATTTCAATGATGATGCAACTTCAAGAAGCTCCACTTCGAAAAATTTTGGGACAGTTCTTTGGAGTTTATTCTTAATATTTAAATTAACATTAATAAATTCAATCCGACGTGTAGCGGAAGCTCTTACACAACATTTTCTGAATTTTTACGAAACAAACGTTCGTGTATCAATGTGATAAATGATGATCATAAATATTTTCTCTGGGCTATTTTGTCCGCTTTATATACACTCTCAAATTATCCTTAGAGGAAAAGTAATTATACAAATTGACTTTAGGTGGTATTTAATTTCCAGTGTCTTTAAATCAAATACCTCGGTTTGAAAAATTAAACAGCACAATATCAGTCAATTTGTTTGGCTTAGAAACAAAAAAATAGTTCTCATATGTTTTACAAACAATACAAGATCAAATTAAGTAAATATTTTATTGATTGGTGATAATTTTTCGCCGATTCAACGTTCTGTCAATAATTATTACTACATTTATATAAAGAATCTTGCAAAATTAGTAGGAAGCAGCTTATCACGGATTAAAAATAGAAAACATATTTGCGATCGATATCTACATACACTACATATACTTCATTACAATGAATAAGCTTATTGACCATAAAAAAAATTGCAAACAGTTGAATTAGTGTCGTATGCAAATGCCAAAAGTCAACAACGATGTAATTGTACGATGTAATCAAGAATTATGTATCAATTCAAATTCAAATTACTGTTTATGTAGACTATGAATTTCTATTAAAAAAAGCATTCGTTGTAGAGCAAGATGCTGACCAAAATACCGTTGCATATGAGCAACATGAAATGTTTAACACAGGCTACTATTTTAAATGTATTTATGATGAGAGTTTATCAAGGTATAATTTGTGACGGGGCCCTGGCTAAGATGGCCGGCCCTGTCTGGCTCGCACTCTCTCCCGTGATTCGTTCTTTAGCTATGGCTTCGACCAGCGTGATAAAGCCAAGAACCATTACCGATGCCGGCAACACTTTATTTCAGGACAAATATCTGTGGTTGGCATCGTTAGTGAGAGCCAATTAGGAGCAAGAATGGCAGCTTT